TTAATGCAACGGGAGGTTCTGAACCTGTTTTGGCTCTGTCCCAAAATCCCGGAATTTGGGGTGAATTTGGGAACACTTTGGGTCTGAGGTAATTATTTAATGCAATGGGAGGTTCTGAACCTGTTCTGGCTCTATACCAAAGTCCTGGAATTTGGGGTGAATTTGGAAACACTTTGGGCCTGAGGTAATTAATTGAACAAAGTAACGGGAGGTTCTGAACCTGTTTTGGCTCTGTCCCAAAATCCTGGAATTTGGGGCAAATTTGGGACTGCTTTGCCTCTGCAAAGTGAATTAAATTAAACGACCCAGCGGGACGTTCTGATTTTGGCGGCGTGATTTCCTGCCTCCCCCCATCGCCTCCCATTCCTGGCGCCCTGGAGGGGCCGTGGGGGCCCTGGTGGTGTCCCCACTGTGTCCTTTGCGTGTCACTGTGTCCTCGTGTCCCCAGTTCTGTCCCACCAAGGCCGAGGCGCGCCGGAGCGCGGCCAAGATCGCGCTGATGAACTCGGTGTTCAACGAGCACCCCTCGCGCCGCATCACCGACGACTTCATCGAGAAGAGCGTCTCCGAGGCCCTGGCGTCCTTCAACGTGAGCGTGCCTCTCGTGTTTTGTCCTTTTTTTGGGTCACATTCAGCCCTTTTCTCGCCCTGGGATGGGGTAACTCAGAGGCACTTGAAAGAATTTTAATTCCGTTTTCAGGCTCGCGTGTAGAGTGAGGCAATATAAATGTGATAATTCACGCCCATCACAGTCAGGAGCCAACTGTTTCTAATTTCTAAGCTTTTTTCCTCATTCCTAACTTTTTTCCTCATTCCTAAACTTTTTTCCTAATTCCTAAACTTTTTTCCTCATTCTTAAACTTTTTTCCTCATTCCTAAACTTTTTTCCTAATTTCTAAGCTCTTTTCTGATTCCATTTTCAGTCTCACGTTTAGGGTGAGACAATATACATGTTACAATTCACACCATCACAAAAAGAAGCCATCTATTTTTAATTTCTAAACTTACTTCTAATTCCTAAATTTACTTCTTATTCCATTTTCAGTCTTGCCTGAAGGGTGAGGCAATACAGACAAATACTAATAGAATAGAATAGAAATAATATATCGATTTTCTCACATATGAGAAAAACAACAAAACAAAAAAACACCAACTGCAGGTTTTTTTCTTACAGGAAAACATTGTTAAAAAACACCAACTGCAATTTTTTTTTTTTTTAATATTTGGCCATCATTATTTATCTCCAGCTCCCTAAGACTTCCCAGGGCAATTCTGGGAAAATGTATCCAGCTTTTTCTCTCTCTGTCATGCACATATGACAGCTCAGCCTGTGCTGGCATCAGGCTCTCCTGAATCCCGCTGGGAATTGCAGTATTGGGAATTCCCAGGGGTGGGAATGACAACTCCATGTCTAAAATTTCTCTGCAGGGCAACCGAGAAGAGGCAGATAATCCCAACACTGGGATCGGTGCCTTCCGCTTCATGCTGGAGTCCAACAAGGGGAAATCCATGCTGGAATTCCAGGTTTGTGCTGATCCTGTTGCTGTTCCCATTTCCTGGCTTGGTTTTTGGATGTTTGGGGGTTGCTGTCCCAGGTGTATTTTAAATTTTTTCCCCACAGGAAATTCATTCTGATTGGATCCGGTGTAATTCCAGTACTGCCCTTGGAATTGGGTTTCTCGCTGTGATATTTCCAAATGCCCTAATTCCAGTTAATTAGTGGGATTCATCCCTGAAAGCGGGGGGAGCAAGAGCTCCCACAGGGTGGGAAGATGTTCCCCCCAAAGTGGAATTTGGGGCTGGGTTTGGGAGTCCGTGGTGTCATGACATTCCTTGTGGGAAAAACATTGGGACAAGAGGAGGCCTGAGCTGCTGAGGGAAGGTTCTGGAAGGTGGATCAGGATTAGGAGAGCAGTTTGGGATGGAGTATCTGCTCTCATGCAAATACACGCATATATACAATTATAGATATATTTGCAAAGCAAATATTCACTAATGGAGTGAATATTTAGTGAGCCCCCACTTTAGAGAGTCACTGCATTTAAATGTTATTATTTTCCTTTATTATTAAATTCTATTATTTTCCTTTAATGTAGAATTCCCTAATGAGAATCCTCTATATTCTGTCACTCTTCTGCTGTGAGCATTCATGAGACTTTATTTCCATGCCTCAAACAACATTTTATGCTACCAACCTTCCAAAGCACAGAAGTGGAAGTCACCCAGCTCTGAGCAATCCCAGCACACGCAGAAATGGTGATTTTTGTATTTTTAAACCCTTTCCTTTTTGTTTTTTAAACCACCCCAGGAGCTGATGACAGTTTTCCAGCTGCTGCACTGGAACGGGAGCCTGAAGGCCATGAGGGAACGTCAGTGCTCACGCCAGGCGAGTCCAGGGCTCCTTCCCATTGCTTCCCCCAGTGCTTTGGGAAGGACAACTGACCCAAATCCCAGGCCCAAGAGCATAAAAAACGTTGGCTGAAGAGAGAAAAACAAGAAAAATGGGATTTCATGGGCTGGAGCTGTAATTGGACAATTAACTCCAATATGTAAATGGAGTTTTATAAAAGTGAGAGAGAATCTGTGACCGGTCATGCATTTTGGGTCCATTTTGTGTTCATTTTGTGACCATTTTGTGACCATTTTGGGTCCATTTTGTGACCATTTTGTGTTCATTTTGTGACCATGTTGGTTCATCTTGGGTGTAGCCCTGGCTGAGCTTTCACACTGCCCAAGGTGCATCCATTGAGGAGATCCTTTTAATAAATCCCTATTTAATTAATAAACCCTATCTAACCTCTGTCCTAGCCCAACCTTCCCAAAGCATCATCCCCTTCAGTTTTTTTTCCCCAACCTTAACAATTCCAATGCCTCCCACAAGGTTTTTCCCCAACCTTAACAATTCCAATGCCTCCCACAAGGTTTTTTCCCCAATTCTCTGCCTCCCATGGATTTTTTTCCCCAATTCCAATGCCTCCCACGAGGTTTTTTTCCCCAATTCCAATGCCTCCCACAAACTTTAGCAATTCCAATGCCTCCCACAAGTTTTTTCCCCAATTCCAATGCCTCCCACAAGGTTTTTCCCCAACCTTAACAATTCCAATGCCTCCCACAACCCCAATTCTCTGCCTCCCACGAGGTTTTTCCCCCAACTTGAACAATTCTCTGCCTCCCATTCCCACCAGGAGGTCCTGGCTCACTACTCCCACCGTGCTCTGGACGATGACATCCGAAACCAGATGGCCCTGGACTGGGTGAACCGGGAGCAGAACATTCCAGGAGCCCTTTCCCGGGAGCTGGCGGCCACCGAGCGCGAGCTGGACGAGGCCCGGCTGGCCGGGAAGGAGCTGAGGTTCCACAAGGAGAAGAAGGACATCCTGCTGCTGGCAGCTGGCCAGCTGGGCTCAGCACACTCCTCTGGCTGCTGAACCCCAAAATCCCACCCCAGCCGACCCCAAAACCCTTCCCCAGTCCCGGCCCGTTTGCACGTTCGAGAGAAATTTAGGGGAAAAGAGCTGCTCTTCATTCTTCCATTTCTCCTTTGAGAGCTTCTTATTCCCTAGGGAATTTTTGCATTTCTCTGGTTGCTGAACCCCAAAATCCCCACCCTGAGATCCTCCCTGGTGATCCCAAAACCCTTCCCCAATCCCGGCCCGTTTGCACATTGGAAAGAAATTTAGGGAAAAAATCTCCTGAATGTAGGAAGTTTCATTCTGGTTTTTAGAACTGCTCCTAATTCCTTCATTTCTCCTTTGAGAGCTTCTTATTCCCTAGGGAATTTTTGCATTCCTCTGTTGCTGAACCCCAAAATCCCACCCCAGCTGATCCCAAAACCCTTCCCAATCCCAGCCCATTTGCACATTTGAGAGAAATTTAGGAAAAAAAAGCTCCTGATTAGGTTTTATCAAGTTTCATCCTGGTTTTTAGAGCTGCTCTTCATTCCCTCATTACTCCTTTGAGAGCTTCTTATCCCCTAGGGAATTTTTGCATTCCTCTGGTTGCTGAACCCCAAAATCCCCACCCTGAGATCCTCTCTGGTGATCCCAAAACCCTTCCCCAATCCTGGCCCGTTTGCACATTTGAAAAATTTAGGGAAAAAAGCTCCTGATTTAAGTTTTATCAAGTTTTATCCTGATTTTTGGAGCTGCTCCTCACTCCTCCCTTCAGAACTCCTTATTCCCTAGGGAATTTTTATTCCCTCATTCCCCACAGATTTTTTTTTTTCCCTTTCCCTTATTTTTGGGGTTCAAAACAAAACCCATTGGATCCCCTCCCTCCTGCAGCAAAAAGGGACCAATTAAAGCTCCTTGATGAGCTCCTTAATTAAATGAGCGGATGCCAACGCCTGCAATATCCAGATTTAATTTTGGAATTAAATCTGGGGTCAGCCTGCAGCATTCCAGTCCCAAGCACAGCAGGATCTGCAGTTCCCCCCTGGAATTGCCCTTTCTGTGCCCAAAAATCAGCATTGGAAGGCTTTTTCCCAAGAAAAATCTTGGAAAGTTGGTGGGTGAGGGAGGGATTTGCACTAATCGTTCCTTATCCCTTGTATCCATATGGAATTTAGATTATATTTACCTTTAAATCCCCTTTTATGGCATGGAATTCTTCAAACAGCTCCCCAGAAAATGTCGGTTTATCCATGGAAATTCCCATTTTGCTCCCCTTCTCCCCCCAGCAATACAAACTGAATTCCAAGCCAGAATTCCGTTTTTTCACCCCAGATTTTTAGAGCTTTTCCCACTTTTTATCCCCTGCAGATTCCACTGTTCCCACCCTCCTCCTTCGCTCTGCCTGACCCCACAGGATATTCCAGCAATAATCATTATTTTAGGATAAAATTGGAATAATTCCATTATCTGTAGGTACCCCATTTTTTATATCCACATCCTAACAAGCCTATTTTGGGGGTTTATATATTTTTTTATACTTTCTACAAACACTATTAACATTTGATGTCGCTAGAAATTGAATTTTAAAAGGGATTTTTTGGGGGGTGGGGAGGGTTGTGGGGTGTAATTTCTTGAAATATGGGGAGGAAATTTGATTTAGGATTTGTTTAAATAAAAGATTTAAATAAGGGAGGACTTTGGGAGTTCCCATCGCCCTGGAAGGAAAAATAAAAATAAAAGGGAAGAAAAAAAAATTAAAATAAAATATTCCATTGCTTCCAGGATGGTTTGGATGTTCCAGGTGTAAAATGGTGTAAAATGAACAAAATTCAAATTTTCTCAGTTGTGCTCCTTGTTGAGGCGATGGAATTATGGGATAAATGCTGCTGTGGATTTTATACAATAAACCCAGCGATTTTGGTTAACTTTGGTGCTCTTGCTCGTTTTTTGGAAGGGGACCAGTTGTGCCCAAAAATTGCTTTGAGCCACCTTGGTGTGGGGTTGAGAATCCCCGGGATTCAAAATTCCTGGGATTCAAAATCCCCGGGGTTTAAAATTCCCAGGATTCAAAACCTGGGATTGAAAATTCCTGGGATTCAAAATTCCCGGGGTTTAAAATTCCTGGGATTCAAAATTGCTGGGTTTTGAGAATCCCTGGGATTCAAAATCCCTGGGATTCAAAATTCCCGGGGTTTAAAATTCCCGGGTTTTGAGAATCCCTGGGATTCAAAATTCCCAGGGCTGAGAATTCCTAAGATTCGAATTTCCTGGGATCCAAAATCCCTGGAGTTTAAAATTCCCAGGGTATGAAATTCCCGGGGTTCGGAATTCCCAGGGTTGGGAATTCCCGGGTTTGGAAATTCCCGGGTTTGGGAATTCCCGGGTTTGGAAATTCCCGGGTTTGGGAATTCCCGGGTTAGAAATTCCCGGGTTTGGAATTCCCGGGGTCGGAATTCCCGGGGTTTGGAAATTCCCGGGATTCGGAATTCCCGGGTTTGGGAATTCCCGGGGCGAAGCGACCCCGCCCGCCCTTCCCATCATGGCGGGACGGGCGCGCCCGCCCGGTGCCCTTTCCAAAATGGCCGCGCCGGCGCTTCCGCCCGGCCACCGCCACTTCCGGTGCTTCCGCCCGGCTCCCGCCACTTCCGGCGCTTCCGCCCGGCTCCCGCCACTTCCGGCGCTTCCGCCCGGCTCCCGCCACTTCCGCCCGGCTCCCGCCGCTTCCGGCGCCTCCCGGCGTGCCCCGGTACTCCCGGCAAGATGGCGGACGTACTGGACCTTCATGAGGCGGGCGGGGAGGATTTCGCCATGGACGAGGATGGCGACGGTGAGCGCGGGGCTGTGCTCATTGCGGCCGGCCCGGAGCGGCCCCGCCGAGCGATCCCGCCGGGTCCCGGTGCGGCGGAGCCGCTCCCGCCGCCTCCGGCCGCGCCGGCCTCAGGGACAGCGCCGGCCCGCGGCGGGGGGCTCCTGCTCGGTGCTGGGAGGTCATTCCCAGCTTGGGGGGGTCACTCCCAGCCCAGTGGTCATTCCCACCCCGGGGGCCATTCCCAGCTTGGGGGGTCACTCCCAGCCCAGTGGTCATTCCCACCGTAGTGGTCATTCCTATCCTGGGGTTCACTCCCAGCCCAGGGGTCACTCCCAGCCCAGGGGTCACTCCCAGCCCAGGGGTCACTCCCAGCCCAGTGGTCACTCCCAGCCCAGGGGTCACTCCCAGCCCAGGGGTCACTCCCACCCCAGTGGTCACTCCCAGCCCATGGGTCACTCCCAGTGGTCACTCTCAGTGGTCCCTCCCAGCCCAGGGGTCACTCCCAGCCAGGTTGGGGGGGTCCCTGTCCACCCCATGGGTCACTCCCACCCCAATGGTCACTCCCAGTGGTCACTCCCACCCCAGGGGTCACTCCCAGCCGGGTTGGGGGGTCCCTGCTCCTGCTGACCCCCAGTTTCCCCAGAGAGCATCCACAAGCTGAAGGAGAAGGCCAAGAAGCGCAAGGGCCGCGGCTTCGGCTCAGGTGAGACCCCAAAACCCCCCCCCAGAACCCTTTCCCTGGCGCTCTGGGTGACCCCTGAACTTTGGGGGTCCCTTGGCTCCCCCCAAATTTTCCCCTTTTTTTTTGTTTTTCCAGAGGAAGGATCCCGCGCTCGGGTGCGCGAGGATTACGACAGCGTGGAGCAGGACGGGGACGAGCCGGGGCCACAGAGATGTGAGGGGGATTTTGGGGACCTGCAGGGCTTTCAGGGGGGCTCCCTTCCCCTTCCCTCATTCCCAGGATTTATTTTAGGGCAATCCCAAGGTGGGGATTTGGGGGAGATGCTCCTTCCTTGGAGGGGGAATGGGATCTGGATTTGGGGTTCAGCTTTTCTGGGATGAGCTTTTCCCCAATCCCCAAGGATTTGGGGGCTCTGAGCCTCCATCTCCCTTTCCAAGCTGTGAAAAATGAGTGATTTTGGGGTGACAAACCCTTTCCACCACAGCCAGGAGGAATTAGGGATGATTTTCCTCACTTTCCCAGGATTACTTTTAGGTCAACCCCCAAACCTCCCCCATGAGGGGTCCGTGACTCACCCCTCCCCAAATTTGGGGGTGTAAATCTCCACTCCCAGCTCTGTGACCCCCCCCTTTTCCTGCCCAGCCGTGGAGGGCTGGATCCTCTTTGTGACAGGGGTGCACGAGGAGGCCACGGAGGAGGATGTGCACGACAGATTCGCCGAATTTGGGGAGATCAAAAACATCCACCTGAACCTGGACCGGCGCACGGGATACCTCAAGGTGGGGAGGGGACACTTTTGGGGACCCCCAAACTCCATCTCAGCCTGGGGGAGGCTCCAGGGTGGGAGGTGCCAGGAGAGAACCCCAAAATGGAGCCAATTCTGGGGGTTATGGGAGTATCTGCACCTCAAAATTGAATTATTGGGAGGTTCCTGCACCCCAAAACTGAGGGGTTGGGCTGGGAGCTGCATTCCCCCAGTGCCTGAGTTCATTCCCGGTCCTAAACTTGGGGTGTCAGGGGGTCTGTGCACCCCAAACCTGAGCTGGGAATTCTCCCATAGCCTGGCTTCATTCCCAATCCTAAATCTGGGGTTTCAGGGGTCTGTGCACCCCAAACCTGAGCTGAGCTCATTCCCATCCCTAAATCTGGGGTTTCAGGGGTCTGTGCACCCCAAACCTGAGCTGAGCTCATTCCTAATCCTAAACCTGGGGTGTCAGGGGGTCTGTGCACCCCAAACCTCAGCTGGGCTCATTCCCAAC